CAGCCCCGATATCCGCTGTTTGTTTGGGGGGGGGAGGAGGCGCGGAGCTTTGGGGTGCAGCTCGGCCGCCCCAGGAGGTGCAGCGGGGCGATCCGCCCCCCATTCCCCCCGGGGGGCGTTGGGACCACCGAGGGGTGTTTGGGGTTCGGAGCCACCGGGGGCCATTGGTGTTCTTTTCACCCCGGGGGCGGCGGTGGGGGTTCCGGGGTCTCGCGTTGCGCGGCGTTGGCTCGGGCAGCCCCCCCCCCCACATCCCCCCCTCGGCCGTTGGTGCCGAGCGCTGCTGCGGGACTACGCGGAGGCGCTGCGGGAGACGCTCGGTTGGGCGCGGCGCCGCCCGGTGTCGGCGGGAGCGGCGTTGGCGGCGTTGGGGGGAGCGGCGGCCGCCGCCGGTTCCGTCCCGGATCGGCGTTCGTTCGACGCGGCGCTGCTGGACGCCGCCTCCGCTTTGCTGCTGCTGCCCCCGCAGACGCGGAACGCCGCGGCCGAACGCCACGTGCAGCAGCTGCAGCGCCGCCGGGACCGCGGGCAGCTCCGTTACCGGCACCTGGCGCTGCTGGCCGTGCTGTACGAGGAGCCGTACGACGGCGCCGTAGCGCTGTACCGGGCGCGGTGTCCTCACGTGCGGCCCCGCCGGGCGCGGCTGTGGGACGTGGGGTTCGCCGGGCGGTGGTGGGCGCTGGAAGCGCTGAGCCGGGACTGCGACGTCAACGACGAGGAGTTCGCCGCTCTGCCCGCCCCGCTCCGCCGATTGCGGCCCGGGGAGCTCCGCAGCGACGGCACCGAACGGCTCCGGGAGCGCCGCGAGCGGCCCGCCGTGCTGCTGCCCCGGGACGGCGATGCGGACTGAGCGCGGCTGCGGGGATCCGCCGCGGGAGGGCGGCTGTCCGGAGCGGCGGCTGTCGGTGGCGCCGCCGGCAGCGCCCGACCCCAAATCTGCGCCTTTTCACCCCATTCCGTCCCGCTCCCCCCCAACTCCGCCGCCCCAAACTTCCCTCCCTTTCCCTCCCCGTTTCCTCCTTCCTTCCCTTTTCCCCCCTCGTTTCCCCTTCCTTCCCTTCCCCCCATTTCCCCCTTCCTTCGTTTTTCCCCCATTTTCACCACTTTCTTCCTTTTTCTCCCCATTTTCCCCTTTCCTTTCCTCCCCATTTCCCTTCTCTTCCCCCCCA